TACTTTCCCTAACCTGCCTTTCCAGTCTTATTTAATATTAAATTGTATAAAACTAACAAAACTACAAATAAGCTACAAAGTGTATTTAAATGGAACCTTGAATGTACTACCAGTCTTCAGATCAGAACTGCTGCATCTACCTGTTGGCATTTCACCACTGTACCTTCTGTCTTTTTTTTTCTGTTGGGTTTTTTTGGATGAGAAAAATTTGTTTACAATTAGCCAGCTGGACTCAGTTTAGATGATCCCAATTTTGTTGGCAACATCCAAAGCATCATAGTCAGGAGCAAGTCGAACCTTAGGCCTTCTCTCCATCAGACCTAATCAAAGTATTGACCTTAGCCACATCAGTGTCATAGAGCTTCTTTACAGCTTGTTTAATTTGGTGCTAGTTGGTTGGCCTTGACATCCACAATGAACACAAGTGTGTGTTATCTTCTATCTTCTTCATGGCTGACTCAGTGGTCAGGGGAAATTTGATGATGGCATAGTAGTCAAGCCTGGGGGGAAGAGGCAAAACAAGGTTACCTGGCTTGTACTCAGAAGTGAAAAAAAAAAAAAACCACCAAAACCAACCACCTTCTGTCTTTTATAGACAAACGTTCTCCTGAACTGTCTCACATTTTTTTATTGAAAGTTGTCACATATGCATTCCTAAGCAGCATATTATTTTGTTTTGTTTTTGCGTTTTCATGAAAATGCTGTTGTACTGGGGGTGGGGTGGGGAAATAGTGCTTTCTTCAATTGACATTTTTTCTCAGACCCATTCACTTGGCAAACAATTGTGGTTATTCCATTCTTTGAATATACTGTGCCATAATGCACTTAATTATTTTCCTATTCTGACTTGTTTCTACATTATGTAATCATTACCTGTAGACATTCTTGCACATGTCTCCTAGGATACACTTGGAAGAGTTTCTCTAGGGTATGTTAACCAGAAGTACTTTCTTTGCGTCAAAGATAGTGCAGATGTTGAAATTCACAAGAAACACAAACTCTTTTCTAAACCATTAATACCAGTTTATACACCCATTAATAATGTGTGAAAGTTTATGGACTCATTTCCTTGCCATCATTTGGTGAGGTCAGCTTTCTTAAGTTTTGACTAACTGGTGAGTGTAGAATATCTCATTATGATTCTTTCACTAGAAGTCTCATTTATGTTGTGTCTCTACTACTTGGCCTGTTATCTGTTGGGCATTAGCTCATTCTTGCTTTATACAGCAAGACAATTTGGAGACTTCAGAGACTTAAATGTCCACATCTTAGACATTTTATCTGATCTCCCTTTAGAAGCACTGTTGAAACTGTCTTTTCTTTGTTTTGGCTGTTGTGACTCTAGTATCTAATACCTGTAATAGTGAGTACAGGATGAATAACAGGGTTATAGGTAACTATAGAATTCTTCTATTAAGATAGCTTTTTTTTAAGTTTTGAAAGAATTTTATTGACACACAATAAATTCATTTTATGCATAAAATTTGATGCTTTGGACTAAGGTAGAATTTTTATATCTGTTGTCTAAGAAACCATGTATTTTAATTTAATTGATTGCCTTTGTAATCCTGTCTATTTTTAATTAACAAATTTGAAATCATCCTTAGAAGGACCTTTTAGCTCCCTCAGAATCCAAAAGGATCTGTAGCTTTCAAAAGTTCAAGAAGCTCTGCTTTAGAGAAAGTTACTTGCCAGGCGTCTGGGAGATATATTTTTTGTCTGTTTGATGATTTTCAAAAGACTTATTTATCCTCTACCTGCAATGAATTTGCCTTGTGCTTTTTATCTCCACAAGACGAGCTTACCAATGTTCAGAAGTAAACAATTTGCAGTGAAAAGAAGATTTAGTGACTTCCTGGGTCTTTATGAGAAACTTTCAGAGAAGCACTCTCAGAATGGCTTCATTGTCCCTCCCCCACCTGAGAAGAGCCTCATAGGTAAGTAATTTATAATCTCTAATTCCACTTGGGTTTTCTTTTCCTTTACCTTTTTTCTTTCTTTAATATAATTATTGCTTAATATATATAAAACTACTTCTATTAATAATGTAAAATCTTATACTGAGGGAGAGAATATATCCAGTATTTTCCTGTGCTTCACTTGAGGTCTAGTAAAACAGTAGGCTTTGACTTGTTCTTTTTCCACAGATGCATTAGGAGATTCTGGTTTCAACTTCCAGAGATTTTTTTTTTTTAATTGGTGTCCGGAAGTCTTAAATCAGTACTTTTCCCTCCAGATTGAAATATACTAAATTGTATCAGGTAAATGTTACTGAGAGTCCCAGAGTTTCCAACCATCCATTGCTGAGATTTTGGTGGTTTTCTTTTTTACCATATAATCTCATTCTTTAACATTTTGTTCAAGCTTGTTTATGATCTAGATGTGGTCTTTGATTCTGTTTTGCTTTATTGGTTTTGTTTTTATTTTCATTTACAGTGTGTGCGTGTGTGCGTGTGTGCATGTGTGTGTGTGTGTGTGTGTGTGTGTGTATTTATAAATATGTATGGGGGTGGGAACAGTGTCAAAAAAAGAAATGTGTGTGTATAGCAAGACATTTGTCAATTCAATATCTGTATGTACAATCAGTATCATTCATTATATTCATCTTGTGATGCAGCTCTCACTGTCAACTCTTTCCAGATTATTTCATCACTGTTAACAGAACTCCAATGTCCCCTAAGCAGCAGCTTTATCCCACTCCCTCCTGTTATGGTAACCACTAATAAGCTTTAATTTGTTTGCCTATTCTAGATATTTCAAATAAGTGATATAGTTTGTCTTTGTGACTGACATGCCACCCAGCAAAGGATTTTAATGATCAGTTTGTATTTTAGCATGTATTAGGACTTCATTTCTCTTTAATGTTGCATCATTTCTATTGTATGTCTAGTCCATATGTTGCCCATACATTCATCTTGTTAATAGACATTTAGATTGTTTCCACTTTTTGGCTGTTGTGCTGCAGTAAACATTGGTGTACAAGTTTCTGTTTGTACTTTTGCTTTGAAAGTTTTCTTGTGTACATACTAAGAGTAAAATGGGAACTATGTTTTAGCTTTTTGAGGAACCAACAAACTCTTTTTCCACAGAGGCTGTACAATTGTGCTTTCCTACCAGCAATGGATGAGTGTTTCAGTTTCTTCACCACTTGGTCAATATGTTTTGTTTTCCTTTTTTAAAATTTTTATTTTCATCATAACCATTCTAGTATGAGAAACGGGATCTCTTTGTGGCTTTGATGCTCTGATGATGTAGTCCATAAAGAGTTACCTTTAACCCAAAGGTCACGCTTCTCTGGTGGTTTAAATCCACAAGTGGCTCTGAGGTAGAAGAAAGGGCAGTCATCTGCCATGTGATGTACAGCCTTAAAACCCCACTAGGTCAGCTGCTTCAGTTAACACGTTGCCGCACACTTTTAAATTGATCACCATGCTTAGAAACATTTTTTTTCCTTCGATGTATTGCCGTCATTTGTGACAACGTGTGAACACTGTTGTGAGTGAGGGAAAGGCTAATGGTAGTGAACATTTCTACATAACGTTTGTTGACTATTGGTGAACTGTCTCAAGTCTTGTACCCATTTTTTTCTAGAGTAAGTTGTATGTTGTAGTACTACTTTTACTGCCATTCTTCATATGGGCATTATTTTTGTTTTTTATTTCCTTCCAGGAATGACAAAAGTGAAAGTTGGGAAGGAAGATTCTTCTTCAGCAGAATTTCTTGAGAAACGAAGGGCTGCTCTAGAAAGGCAAGTATAAATTGTGGGCATTTCCTTGAAGGATGTGAGAACAAATGAAAAGCTGAAACATTTGGGATTTTCAAGTTGGTAGCAGTGCAGCTCTACCACACTTTGGTCACTTACCTTCGAAGAGCTAGAGGAGCAGATCACCTTTTTCTTTTTCTTTCCTCATCTTGAGGAAGCAGACATTTGTATTAAATTCTTCTTGAACAAACACATGTAATAACTTTGTGATCTCCCTCTGACCAAGTATTTTTCTTTCCTGTTTTTTAAATGTGAAGAACATGAACTTGAATATCACTACAAGCAGACTCTTAAATGGCTTTTCTGAAGATGTTTTAAAGTAATGAAACACATAATGACCCCACCAGAACTGACTGTGTGATGCCCAAAACCTTGTTTTGACTAACAGATGATAACTGCTTACCTTTAAGGTACCTTCAGAGAATTGTGACTCATCCTACCATGTTACAGGACCCTGATGTCAGGGAGTTCTTGGAAAAAGAAGAGGTTAGTATTGTACAAACTAAGCTTCATAATTTTTATTTGCTCCTAGTGAAATGAAATGTGTTTGGTCAATAAATAATTAAGCATTTAACATGATGATGGCCTAATAGACAAGGTTTCATGACTCCCTGAGAATAAAAAGTATTTTCTGGCCTTTGAAATGAAAGAAACCCCTTGCCAAAAAAACAGAAAGAAACAAAAACTTGTTATAGAGGTCAAATTGCATCCTAATTTTGTCTTATTGGATCAACACAGTGGTCCATTTAGCAAATTCTTGGCACGTCTTTCATAGGTTGCTACTTGGCTTATATTGAATGCCTATTTTTGTGCCGGGAGCTGAAGGGCATTGGTTAAAAACTAATTACCACACAGCATAGAACTACCATAAAGCAAAAGTGTTTATTAAAGTGGACAGTCTTCTTTATAACCTATGCGTAGGCTATTCATGATTGTGAAAAATTGGAAACAGTCCAGTTACTAACAATTGAGGATTTCAGTAAAAGATATCAATGCACAAATACTTTATTCTCAACATATACAGAAATTAATGTACTTGCAAGCATAGATTAAAAGCAAAACATAAAACAGCATATAGAAACATGTAAGTCAATAAGAATGAAAAGAAATAGAATAAAACAATGTTTTGTCTCAGAAGGAGGACAACCCAAAGGAATAAATTTCAAAGCTAGACTATTATTTTGTCAGTTTTTTTTCTTTCTTTCATTGCATATTTTCTGTGTGTATGTATACTACTGGTTGAGAACCACTTCCTGAAAGTCCTGGACACTGAAATCCAGTCTTTTAGCCTGGTATAATCTGTAGCCTCTTTACCACCCTTTCTGTGTCTTGGGAAAGTAGGACGAAACCAGTCAAATTGTTTCTAAAAATTTGCCACACTTGGCTTATCATGGACATCACTGTAAGTTGCCTTCATCTAAATAAGTAATGTCTTTGTCCAGGTACCTTTGTTCACTGAGGGAAATCACAAAGAACTCATTGCCCAGCTTCAAAGGGTCTCTCAAGACCTGTTAAGTACAGCTGTGTGCAGAGTGTGCTAATCCAAAGGAACTCTTGACTTTTAACAAAAGTATGTTTAGTGATTAAGCAGTTTCTGCTTGAGTGGGCAGAAAATCTCAGTATGAGGTCACCTGTCCGTAACAGTCTACTTTCTTTAATACACTATATCAAACGCTGCAAATTTGCTGATTCCATTTAGCAGAGAGACATCTGCTGGTGTAGTCTATGGGCAGTTATGCTGCCAACCCAAAAGTGGTGGTGCCTCTGGCAATTTGAACCCACCAATGGCTCCATAGGAGAAAAATGGGCAGTCTTCTCCCATGTGATTTACAGCTCCAGAAATCCACTGAAGGGGCAGACTTCATGCAGTGAGTTTTTATTTAGCATGGCTTCCCACCCCCCCTTCTTCTATGTGTGCTACTTTGGATTCATCAGATTTTGAAAACAAGTCTACAGTTTGGATAATTTGAGCATGTCATTTGATGGATACTAATTCTTTTGAATCTAAAATAGGGGCAACAGGTAACTTGCCATCCCCGCCTTCTTGGTCTTATAGCTGCCACGTGCTGTGGGGACGCAAACATTGAGTGGCGCTGGTCTCCTCAAGATGTTCAACAAAGCTACAGATGCAGTTAGCAAAATGACCATCAAGATGAATGAATCAGACATTGTGAGTAACCATGTGCCTTTTAGAACAGCCTGCACCCTCAGGTTTATGGATCAGAATCCCTGAGGAGTCCTGAAATTTCTGGCACTAGAGACTTTTCTGTGATTTAGTTCTCTCCACCCCTCTACCCCTGTGGGGTTTTGTTTGGGGTTGTATTTTTTAACTGCTAAGGAAGAACTGAGCTCTGGCCCTTTGGGAATAATCTCCTCTACAACTCTCTGCTTGTGGGTTTCAGTGGTTCGAGGAGAAGCTCCAGGAGGTGGAGTGTGAGGAGCAGCGCCTACGGAAACTGCATGCCGTGGTAGAAACTCTGGTCAACCATAGGAAAGGTAACAGCCTTTTGGAGCTGGGGAAAATCGATGCCTGCCTTTGCAGAGCTGGGGACAAGAAAGTATGCCATCCCAGGGCTCTGAACCATTCAAGGGGAGATTTTTAGCCCTCCTTGTCCTTGGTATTCTGATCAAGATGATATAGGGGAGCTCTGGTGGCCTAGTGGCAAGGAGCTGCAACTACAATCCCAGATGCTCTGCCGGGGAAGGAGGGACAATCTCCTCCTGTACCAGTCAGATCTGATTTGACGGTACACTCACACAAAAATAATAAAAAAAATCTTTAAAAAAAAAAAGATGATATTACATACACTTTAGCTATGTGGACAAACCAGCAATATGCAAATATGGGGAAACCTAATGTCTCCTGATCCTTCTGCACCTTTTTTTACTGATATTTACATTTGCCACATCTGCTTTCCTTCTCTGCATTAAATTTACCAATAATCAGAACTCTACAAGCAAGCAGAAGACCAGTAGCTTGAGGCCAGAGTAAGAGACTAAAGGACTGATAGAGGAGGCAAGGCCTCTTTCAGTGGGGCCTAGAGAAACGTGAGGCAGGTACCTCTCGATGTTGCACCTTGTGGGAAGGCTGCATTCCCCTCAGTTTCTGAATATTGTTGACAGTGGGAAAGTGACCAGTTGCAGAGCTCACTTTGGCACACGTGCAGGGTCGGGAGGACAACAAGTCATTTCTAAGGTGTGATGTGCAGTGGCGGCTGCATAATTTTTTCTCTTGTGAGCTCAGAGAATTTGCTGTCTTTCTTCTTTCTAGAGCTAGCACTGAACACAGCCCAGTTTGCAAAGAGTCTAGCCATGCTCGGGAGCTCCGAAGACAACACAGCATTGTCACGGGCACTCTCTCAGCTAGCTGAGGTGGAAGAAAAAATTGAGCAGCTCCACCAGGAACAGGCCAACAATGACTTCTTCCTCCTTGCTGAGCTCCTGAGTGACTACATTCGGCTCCTGGCCATAGTCCGTGTAAGCTTCTGTTTCCTTTCCCTTTTCTCTGCCCCTTGATTTGTTTTGTTCCTTTCCCTCTTCCCCTTCCAAGATGGTTTCATCCCATTACAACTTGTGAATAGGTTTAACTTCTTCTGCTCTTGAGAGAAAAAGAGTAAACCAAAACAAGAAAACTTTTTTGGAGTAAGAGTGAACCAAAACTTGAAAATTTTTACAAGTTGTCACTGAGTCATCCCAAGGCCCTTAACCAGATTCATAGATGCCCTGGGCAAAAATAAAACCATTGAATTTGTGAGTAGGCTCCCTGTTGTTGAAGCTGGGTGATGACCTCTGTGCTCCTTTCCTCAAGCAAGACTTAACTGCTGCCCTGGTTTGGCCCCTGGTGTAGTGACTTCCTCAGTCCTTTGGTCTTTGCCTCTTTAACAGTAAGCGGCGGCTTTGCCCTGGTAAGAGCTCTTGCTGACTTCCACTTGTGTCTCCTGTGTGGGCAGTCAGGTAACTATACGGAACGGGCTTGGCATTGCATGGAGGAGTATAGCCCAGGGGCTGAGAGAGCTTTGTCACCATAGCCCTTCGTGTGCTGTGCACACTGGTAACAACATTGCAGCCTTCCTCCTGGTCAAGCACCTCACCCTCTGTCCTGGTGATCAGGGCAGGCTGGTTTCACATATCCTCCTGAGACTTGACTGGGCGGTGGTATCAGCTCTCGCATGGCCTCCCTGAGACAGAAGAAAAAGCCAAGAGGGAGCCTGGCGCCTGTCCTGTGAGAGTCTACGTCTGCCTCTGATTTGGCTTGGAGCCAGAATGTGTAAGCCTTTGAGTTGGAGCAGAGACACCTCATACCTAACATCCCCCCTGCAGGGAGCTCCTGTGTCGAGTCAAGGCCTGAGCTGCTCCTAGGGCTCCCTTTACACCATGGTGGAGCTGCTTACTCTCTCGCCTGTAAGATTGCTCATTGTCCTCTCCTGTGCTATTTGATTTGCTGTTAACTCTGCAGTGATAAGAGACTTGAAAAAGAGCTACTGTGGAGTTCTTAGAACTGCTTAGATTACATAGCCATATCAGGGAGGGGCTCTCTCTGGGAGAGAAATTCAGAAACAGGCACTGTTTGGAGTCTTCTCTGGAGAACAGCTCTTGATTATGACACCTGCCCCCCACACCTCCTAGTCTGTCTGTCTGGGTTGGAGGAAGCCTAGACTGGAGCTCCGAATTATACGTCTGGGGAAGCGTGCCTTAGAGCACAGAGCCTTTTCTATACCCTATCCTGCCCAACTCAAGATCATGAACTGGATTGGAAAGATGAGCAGATCTTTTCTGCTTTTCACTGAACCTGGAGCTAGAGCACATGGATTATATTTTTAGTCTTATCTTGTAATGAGTTCACCTTTTTTCTAATCCATTCCCATGCATGTGTTATGAAATTACAGGTGAACAGCAGCAACAATGCTGAGGAAGGTCAGTTTAGCAGTTTTTCACTTCTTAAGGAGCACAGTGTGTACTATTGAAGTTTTGCCGAAGGCCTAATAAGGAGGTGCTGGAACAAACATAGAGACCTTTTTCAGGGGAGAGAAACAAGTGGAACAGAGCGAGGAGCTGGTTCCAGGCACAGACCTTGGTTCCAGACTGCCTTTTGAAGCACATAAAGAAAATGAGGTGACTTCCCCGCGTTGTCTTTTGTTGGAAATGTTGATTGTGGCCAAGGGGCTGGAAACCAGGAAACCAGCAAGTAGATTTTGGGAAACTTCTTGGAGGCCTTGATAGCTTCGGACAGTTGAGTGTCTGGCTGGGATGAAAGCAAGGTATCTCTCCATAATAGTTTTAAGTGTTCAGATTTGTTAAACTAATCCTTTGCACTATTTGAGTTTCCGTTTAAATATGGCTTCCTCAGACTGACCTTCCCTGATGTCTTCTGGGCTATGCCTGCAAAGTGTTTCCTCAGTACTGCACTCGTGTGATTTGTAGTTGTTAATGTAATGTTGACCTCCTCTATTAAAGTGTAAGTGCCCTGGAAGTGGGACCAGGCATAGCTTATTTTCCATTGTGTTCTTAACTCCTGGTACATGGCATTGACTTGGGGAAAGTGTGTAGACTCATGGGCTGATTAAACTGAGGAAGGCAGTTCAGAAGCATAGTTCTGGGCATTGGCATCAGGCCACCTACTGTGCTCCCAATCATCCAACCCTGGGAGTAGCATGAAGCAGCATGGCGCTGGCCCACTGGAGGCGTGGAGAAGAATCTTACCAAGCTTGTGCTTTTTAGACATTCAGTTTCCCAGCTGGGCACTAACACATGGCTGCAGAACCTACCATTGCTCAGTCCTCCCTTGGCACACTGCTGAGAGCCTCTGCTGGGCAGAGCCAGCAGAGCTCCTGAAGTGCTGGTTGTGTTCCCCACCCCTACCCCCTACAGGCTGCCTTCGACCAGCGCATGAAGACGTGGCAGCGCTGGCAGGATGCTCAAGCCACACTGCAGAAGAAGCGAGAGGCTGAGGCCCGGCTGCTGTGGGCCAACAAACCTGAGAAGCTGCAGCTGGCCAAGGATGAGATCGCAGAGGTGAGTCTCCCAGGGCAGCCCAGTGGATATTCTTTTGCTTGCTGAATGTGCTGAGTCCTTTCTTTCCCAGATGCTCAGGAGGCCCCAGCAGGTGGGAGAGTTTATAGTTCTGCAGGACTGTGATTATCATCACACCCTCTGAGAATGATTCCATGCAGGCTTTGAGGCCTAGCCCTCCTCTCTTCCTTTTCACCCCAGTCTTGCCAAATCAGAATTGGACATGAGTTTTTAAAAGCTCCCTGCATGTTTCATCTATGCCCACTGATGAGAATGAAGTTCAGTTCCTTAGGGCAAACAGCATCTCTGTTCCCACCAGCCCATAAAGTGGCCACCTGATAGATTCTAACTTGGGTGCTGAATCCCCTTGTGGTACCTGCTCTAACCCAGAGGGATGGACAGACAAACATAATGCTCAGTTGAGATCTCATATGTAGAGTTGCTGTGCAAATATAAAAGCTTAATCGTGAGTCTCTAATATTAAATAATTCTTTCTTTCCTCTTTCTTTCCAGTGGGAGGCTCGAGTGACTGAGTATGAAAGGGACTTTGAAAGAATTTCAACAGTAGTTCGAAAAGAAGTGATACGATTTGAGGTGAGAGAGAAAATCCTACTTCTCAGTGTGTGGTGCCTGTGCCATTAGCTTTGTCTAAGTATTTTTGAGTGGGGAGACAGATGGAGATGCTGGTGACTTGGTGGTCACTAGTGAGAGCGTACACATGTGTGTGTACTCATGTAAGTGTATGCATGTGGGTTGCACACGTGCAACTCTGAGGAAATGACTGCTGCATTCATTGCTGGATCAGAACTAAGAAACAGACATAAAACAAAGCCTCAGCTGCCATATACCCTCCAGTCTTTTATATTTTGTGCCCCTCCCACCCATCTGCCTTGGCAGACACTATTTGGCTGCATTTTGAAGCTGTTCCAACTGCTGGCACTACTTTCTAAGGCCTTGTTTGGCCTTGGTCGGCAATAAACAATATGTCAATATAGACTCCTATTTCCTGTAGAAAGAGAAATCCAAGGACTTCAAAAACCACGTGATCAAGTACCTGGAGACACTCCTGTATTCACAGCAGCAGGTATGTATATGTGACCTCACCCTTGGCTGCCTGCTGCAGATGATATAGTGGTTGATTCTGCTTCTCAGGTGCTAGGCCCTGCTGTTGAAAGTAAGCCCACTTGCACTAAAATGAAGCATTCAGGAGGGTCTTAATCAAGAAGACCCAGATTTTAGTTTTTGATGATAAACCCTATCTTTCTGAGTGGCTATCACCCTGAACCTCATCTTGAAAGCAAGGCTTCAGTTCACTTAGGGAGCACTTGCCCCTGTTGTGAGTTTCTAACTGAGCTGGGCAGAGCTGTGGCCTCCACAGGTCTTTCTGGGACAGAACTAAGACTGTTTTTAGAGATTGCCCTTGCACATGGGACACAAGAAGTGATGCTTCCCCACATCTGAGAGGAAGAACTTCACTACTGGCCAGTCTCCCCAGGACCCATTCTCCGTTAATAATTTCCTCAGCTCTACCTCAGTTTCCTTTGGTGGATGACAGAGGCACTTGGGGAGCCCCATGGCTTAGATGGGTAGGTGTGTGCTTACTGTCCCCACTTCTTTGCAGCTGGCAAAGTACTGGGAAGCCTTCCTTCCTGAGGCAAAGGCCATCTCATAATGGATCAAGGACACCAGAGCCCACCTGCCTGACGCTGCCTTTTTATACTGTCCTCTTCTACTTCTGATGGACCCAGTGATGCATCCTGCCTAGTTCAGACTTAACACCCTCCTGCCTCTCCCTCCAACCAAGCTATCCCCAAACATTCTAACTGTATTTAGCTTCTATATATATTTTCTTACCTAAGAGAATAGTTTCCTGCTTTAAGCAAAGACCTACAATAGGTGGCGGAATTACGGGGTAGGAGTCAGATATTGATATAAATATATAAATACAAATGTATATTTTTCAGGATGTGGTTTAGGAACTGGGAATAACGTTTTCTGTTACTCCTGATGGTGCCATGAAAAGACTATGTAATAAAATATTTTCAAATCAGGTTACGTGACTCGGAATGGTGGTGCTTCTTGCTTTAGGCCGGGGAGCAGTGGGGAAGCAGGTCTGGAATACTCATAGTCAGGAAATCCCCCAGAAATAATAATTTTATCTTCACAAAAGTTAAGTTTTGCTGCTGCTTCCCTTTGGAACTGGGGTTTCTGTTTCTCTTCAGCCTACCTCAACTGCTTGCTCTAAGGGTCTCTTAATCTCTTTTTTTAATTCCAATTCTTTTTAAGGAAAGAATCGTAAAGATGTCTCTTATAATAAGAGGGCTGAAACCTCTTCTGCACAACAAGCAGATCTTCTCTTTTTACTTCTGCTGTGTCCCCCGTCAGCTGCCTAGGGCTCTCTGATAATAAAGCCTTGTGCTCCAGACCACTTTCTGCTCCTCATCAGACATGTCTTGTAGACTTGTTAATATTATAGTGTGAAGAATTAATACAGACGTAACACAAGAGCCAGGCTCTCTGCTACTTCTTTAAACCTTTGCCAGTTAAGAAATGTGACTGCCTGTGTCCTTTGGTAGCATGCAAGCAAGAACTCTTTAGGGCACTCAGCTATGTCAGAGCGGAGCTGGCCAGGTCAGACGTTGCTGGGCGTCCCCCTCAACTGTGCCACAATTACTTGACCTGCCCTGGTGAATGTGGACCTTGAGCTGCTTCAGTGGGTCACACCTGGTGACTTCACCTTCCGTGAGAATCTTGCCACTCCAAGCCCCACCATGCTCAGCAGCAGCAGTACCCAGCATGGCAGAGATGCCTCTGCCCAAGGGGGCTCCAGAACATGTTTATAGGTTCTTTTTTGTGGTTTAAAGGTTTATTCTCTTAATAGCTTGAGTGGAAGAATGCAGGAAGCAGCCCTTCCATCCAGAACATCAGGAGTATGCCAGTGCTGCCAAGTGTTTTCTTCAACAGGTTAAATTTTTTGGAAAAAGCTACTTCTTATTTCTCCTGCCTCCTTGGCTGTCTTGCTGTTGTCTTTCATTTTATCCTTCCAGACTCTTTTATTACTTATTTTTACATAGCTGTGATGATCTACACAATATTTTGTATTTGATTTAATTATTCAACTTTGTATATATTATAAGCATTTTATTCACCCTGTAGTGTTATGTAGCTTCACAAACTTTATTTGTAAGCCCTACTTAATTTTAAGGCTTCTATAAAGTGACTGTACCATAATTCTGATTCATCCTTTGTTGAATTCTTGATATTTTTGTAATTCTACAAGTTTTGTAATTTGAATAAAAATATTAAACTTCTAGAAAAGTTGCAGTAATACTCACAAAAGAGTTGCTATATATCCTTAAACCAGATTTACCAAATGCTTTTCTTTTTTACCCTATTGGTTTTTCTCTTTACGTGTATGTTGTATTTTATGACTCATTTTAGAGTAACTTCCAGGCGTTGATATGCATTTCCTTAATAACAAGTATGTCCTCATCTATCTTATTACCACTTTGCCTCTATTTAGGGTAATTCAAGAGCCCCTAGGCCTTTGCAGTTCAAAGAAGCTGTACTGTCTTTGTTCAAAAGGAAGCCGGCTGGCCAAATCAAGAAACTTAACATGATCAGTACACTATTCAGGAATCCTGGTGGCCAAATTTACTATTTTCCAAGTAAGTTGTGAGTAGATAGATTGGATTCATTTAAATATTGACCCTTTCATCACCAAACTTTGATCTACCAGTTATAGCATCAGTTTGCCTAAATCAGTTACCCCTAGGGTGATTGACCAGTAATATTTTCTAACACCATCATTTCCTTCTGCATGTACTGGTTGGCAGTCAACTCTAAAGACAAGTGTCCCTTCTTTTTTTTTAACAGTATGTGTTAGGCTGCTGACCAAAAGGTTAACAGTTCAAATCCAGCTGGCTCTCCAAGGGAGAAAGGTGGGAATTCTCCTGTAAATATTGACACTTCAGAAGCCCAGTGGAGGACCACCAAGAGGCTGAAAGAATTGTGATGGAATTTAGTTTTTGTTTTAATAATGCTGTTACCTAATCCACGATCCATGTTTATATTTTGTCAGATGTCCCAACACTATTCATTACAATTACTCTCTTTGCCTTTAAAGGTGACGATTTCTATTTGGTTGTCTCTTATAGAATTCCTTAGCCTCACTTTATCTTCTATCACCATGTTTTTAGTTTTTAGTTTTTCAATAAAGAATTCAAGCCAATTCTTTTGTAGAATGTTCCACAATTTGGGTTTGTCTAATTATTTCCATATGATTCAGTTGGGTTTCACATTTCGGCAAGAATATCACAGAAGTGATAATATTCTCAGTGCATTCGAATATGTTATACAGTGTTGGTCAGATGATGCCATCAATGGTGATGTTAACTCCATTCTCTTGGTTGAGGTCTTTCAGATTTCACTGTCTTAAATTTACCATTTTCCAGATAATGTGGGGAGATAGTGTGAGATCGTTTAGATATTTGTTCTTCAAAACATTTCCATATGCTAGTTGCATCAGTTGATGATGATATCTTCTTGCCTGGCTCCCTTATTACCACAGTGACTGACCATTATGGTTTTCTAACTGTATTTGCTTCTGCTTGTTCTCTTCAGCAAGTTATGTCTAAGGAAAAGTGTCCCTTTGCCCATTTTTTAAATCCTTTTATTTATTAATATAGATTCTTATTTTCTTCAAAGTTATGGCCCATTTCTTTGGTTTATTTTGATTCTCAAACCATCCTGGGCTTCTGTTCCATCTATTTAATTTTCTCTACCACTTTTTGAGCACTTGAATTTTCCCTGTCCCAGTCCTGGAATCAACCCTTTCTCCAGGGAGTTCCAGTTGCTTTTAGTAAAGAATCATTCCATACTCTCAACTGCTGTCTAGTCAATTCTGACTCATAAGGCTGTCTTAGGCCATAAATTGCAACAGGAGGAGACTGCCATCTCCCTCAGAGCTGCTGAGGGCTTAGAGCCACCTTTGGGTTATCATTGCACCCTGATAATGGACTAAGCCTTACATGGAGAATGAGACTCAGAAACCAAGATCTGTGTGCTGAGTGTCCTCATTACTGGTAGGAGCTTGCTACGTTTGGGTGCACAACACACAGAGCTAGGAAATAGAGTTAGAAATATAGAAATAGGTGAGCTCTGGTGGCCTAGTGACAAGAAGCACTACAATCCCAGAGGTACATGGTTCAAATCCACCAGATGCTCTGCTGGAGAAGGAGGGACAGTCTCCTCCTGTACCAGTCAGATCCGATTTGATGGTACACACACACACACAAAAAAAACAAAACAAAAAAAACCCCAAAACCAATAATAGAAATAAGTAGAGAAATTTAGATAGAAAACATAGTTAGATGTTAAAAACTCATTCACACTGATATTGCCTGTCTAGCCCTGTATATTTATTCTCGTGTCCCACCCCCTCTATACTGGAAAAAGAATGCATTTTGTGCTATCCACATAATACTTTTTAATAAGCACAAATGGAAATTATTTCAACAACTATGTAAAAAATTTACATTTCAATAATGAAGAAATATACTAATTAAAATATCAATTTTTTTCCATTTAAGAAAAATAAAATTGAAGTCTGCAAAAAAGACTTCATTATAAAAATTGCTCCTTTATATTCTACATAATGGACATTTTAATACAAGTCCTCCCTTTCTTGGGGATGGACAGTCCTCTGGTTTTACAACTTCCAGCCCCGTGATGACAGGACCAGTTGTCTTCAAGGCCTGTGAATCTCTGCAGAGCTTGCAGCTGTGTAAACAAGACCTGTAGGGGACCTGGTGTTCCCAGCCATACATGAATCCAGGTAATAATAGGCGTCCTTCCATGTAGGCACTCAGGAGGGAGACATTTCTATAGAATGTGATACGTTAAGTGGGTTCAGAAAGATGTGTTTGCTCTTTCTCCTGGAACTGTTCCACCTCCCTTGTCTAGCAGCTAATGTGAGAGGCAGGTACACCTTGGGAAATGGAAATGCCTTAGTACAGCCAGAATCAATCAGAGAGTGATGAGCAGAAGCCAGAAGAGTAATGCCCGATCCAACTCCTGAGGTCTTGTGAATGCAACTCAGTAGATATAGGAACCTGCTGAGTAGTTCACTGAGCAGGAAATAACATGGCCACTTTGATGATTTAGAAAGACTAGAAAAAGTGAGCCTAGCCACAGAGAGAGTAGCTAGACTCCTCACAACCACCCGGGGGACTAAAGTAGGCAGTGGTAATGGGGTCGGGGCCAGGGAGGTAGAGATGGGAGCACAATTGATTGGTTGAGACTAGAAGAGAAGGGGGACAACATGACTCGAGGTGTCTGACTTGGATGCTGGGGAATACAGGTCCTAACCCTGGAGGCAGGATAGCTTTGGAGCAGGTGCACAGGGAAGCAGTGGCCAGATTTAAGAGGCTGCTCTGAATGGGAAGAAAAGGTAGCAGCTAGAAGTGGCAGGGACAGAGGAAAAGGCAGCTGTGTTGTATTTAAAAGACTGGACTGGCTTGAGCACACTAATAAGATCAGAGGAGAGGACTAACCATCAGACTGACCTGGGTGAAAGTTCAGTCCAGAGCCCAGGAGGAGGGCTTTCTGGGATCCAAAGAGACCTGGCTGTGCGGCCAGGGCAAAGAAATACAGGGGTGGAAGGAGGGCAGAAAAGTTAAGGTTTCACAATTGAGAAAATATTTCCAGGGATATTTTATCCCTAAGTTGTGCATCTAGTGAATTCGAAAAGTATGGAGACAGGTCTGCATTTCGCCTTCAGTTGTTTCCCCAAGAATCTGAGCCCAAGAGTCCTGAAAATTAAGACTTAGAGCCAAAGGTGAGCTTGTACAAGAAGTACAGGTGTCACTTAGATGTAGATATTTGTGTCTTCTGAACTCTGCAGATTTTAATTCTAAATGCATCAGTGTCTGTGAACCCAAGAAAATAAAAGTGTTGTAGCAGAAACTCCAGTTTGTAAACAGTGTGTAAGAAGATATAAGAAGATAACAGATTTGGTAAAGATGGAGCCAATGTCTGGATTGAAGGATGAG